CCCCATTAATGAAATGATGTTCATCATGCCACAATTCAAGGATGAGAGCAAATTTAAAGAAAAAGATGAAGGGACACACTTGAAAATCAAATTTCATGCTGTTCTTGCTAAGCCATCTGAAGAAGTGTGGTCGTTAACAAAGACCAAGAAAGTGGTTAGCATAAAGAAGGATGTGATATTCGAAGACAAAGTCCAAAATATCAAGTATGTGGTGGTGAGGGCAGATGGAAAAGTATATGATTTTACTGTGGCTGACTTTCCATTAATGAACTTGTATGATCTTATACAAGTTGCATTAATTCTAAAGGAAAGATCATTTTCGTATTTGCAAAATAGTGATCCAGATGAGTTTAAGGTTGGAGTAACTCACATCAAAATCTATATTGAAAATTATTATGAATGTCTTGCAATGACTGATGTGGAGTTGGCAACTGCAAAGGGTTTGGAAATCAAAGCTGCCATGAATCCTTCAAAGACTCAAACAGAACTTAAAAGATATGATGATGGGGAAATCTGCTTGAAACCCTTTGGGTTAGTCTATTATGGGAAGGATAAGTCAGGAAGATCGAAGAAATTTTTGTTTTAAGCTGCTGAGGTGGAAAGATATTCAACTTCGCAATATACGAACTTAGTTGTTCGTATGAACCATTGCAAGAAGAATAACGAAGGGGATAAGAAGGAACTGAAGAAAATTATTAATTGGTATACGAATATTCGAAGAGTCATACTTTAATCTATTCAAATTCTTACCAATTGAAGACTTCGACTTTAATTCCAAAGGGGGAGATTGTAAGAGTATATTTTGGTGTAATTAGTCGAAGTATTTCATATCTTCGTATAATCTATTCTTCATTCCTTATGTAATGTATTTTTCTAAGGCATTGTATTCGAAGCATAACGCTTAGTCATTAGAATATTTTTTGTACGGTTTTCTTTCCTATAAATAGGAGTGTTTACTAGAGTTAGAAAGTACCTTTTGACAGAACTTGTATTTTTGTACTCTGTAAAAACTTGAGAAGCGTAATAGAGCTGAACCAAAAATCATATTTACATCGGTGTTCAAATCTCGCATACTTCTATTTGATCACTTGAAACTCTGATAAATTTCATACTCGATTCATTTGCTTCATCACACTAGTTTAAGCGAACTAAGAATTTTACAAAACTTTCTAGACTTAAACTTAGAATGCTAAGCTATGATCGTAAGGAGCGTGTCTGTTATATTTTAGGAAGTATGCCTAAATAGACATAAACACTAGCTTATTTAGGGAAGATGCCTAAATTCCACTTATGGGCTAAATGATATATGCTTTATGATGCTATCAATTGATCGAATCTATGGTCAATTGCCGATCGGATCTGGAAATTTTATGTGTTTAGATTTCTAACCGTTTAATTACGGTATTAGTACTAGCATGTAACTTTTCAGAGTGATAAGGAGATTTATACGCTTGTCGTAAATAAAGATTTCCCTATTTTAATTCTTTTCACTACACACTGAACGTCTGATTTGGCGTATAGACCGACATGGTGAGAACTCGAAGAGGATTAGGAAACGTTAATGAGAATGCTAATGGAAACCTGCAACCTAAGCCACAAGTGATTAAGTGTGCACCAAAAGTAGCAGCTACATAAACCAATCACAATGGCAGAAGTACAAGCAATGATATAAATGATGTTGGATCGTCAGATAGAACAATGCGTCTACTTCAATAGAATAGGGATGAACCTACTGTTCCTATTGAGCAACCTGAACTGAACATTGAGTAGTCAGAGGAGGGAAATTACAGCCATACTGTGAGTCAAATTGAACCCCGAGTGGTTAGAAGAAATAACCAAGATGAATGAACTGAAAGGAGTGTATCCAAGTACAAAGACTTCACAACTTGTAGACCATCAAATTTTAAAGGTAAACAAGATCCAATTGGAGTTATGGACTGGATCTCTGAGATGGAGCGAGCTTTCATAACATATGGTTGCAAGGGCAATATGCAAACCGCTTATTATGTGCGTCAGTTTAGGGGTGGGGTTGTTCGTTGGTGAAACACTTTTGGAAAGATCATGATCCCCAATGAGCCACTACAACTAACATGGATAGAAATCTTGGTACACTTTAAATGCAAGTTCTGCTCAACCCAAATTCTGGTAGAAGTAGAGAACCAGTTTGTGACATTGAAAAAGGGCAATATGTCCATTGATGAGTATACCAATGTCTTCACAAATAAGATGGAGTTTGCTTTGCGCATCGTCCCTGACGAGCTAAAAAAATCGATAAGTATGCAAAGGGACTACTGGGAGTACACTTTGCCGGTACGCCAAACACCCACTCTTGAGGCGGCCATCTGGGCCGCTAAGTTTGTTGAAGAAATGTTCAAAGGAAAAACTGCCAACAAGGTTGAAGTTGGCGAGAAGAGGAAGTTTGATGGGTCTTCAGGATCTAACAAGAAAAATAGGTCCTTAAAGCCTGACCCTAACAACAAAAGGTATGGGGATAACAATGAAGAAAAATGGTGTGACAAGTGCATAAGGAAACACATTGGCAAGAGCTCTAAATAAGTGATCTACTTTCAATATGGGAAGACTGGTCACTACGCAAACGAAGACACAGATAAGAGAGAAGTCTACTTTAGGTTTGGTGAAGAAGGAAACTTCAAGCAAGACCCCCCAAAGAGGAAAGGAGCTACAAAGCCAAATGCACATCTGAAGCAAAAGGCAAGACCATTCCAGATGATCCTTAATGAAGCAAGTGATAATGCAAGGGATTAGGAGTAAGGATCTATATTTCTGAAAATCGAGATATAAAGAAGCCATATAGATAGTATCATGTGGTGTAGCCTAATATAAGAGGAATAGCATAGGGTGAACTTGAACGTCTATGTAATTGTTTCAAGAAATAATATAAACCTTGGTTATGTTATCCGATGTGTTAGATGACTATGTGAAATTCTTGTACGGTGACTTGGTGAACTGAGAGGCAATAATTGGGATGAGTATGTGTAGGTGTGAAAGGTAGGAGAGGCCTATACTACCAGAAGCATAGAAATCGCACTTGGACTAGGGAAAGTCACAAGATTACCAAGATACCAGTAATTGATTTCGTTTTGTTCATGTCTATCGTTACCATCGTTTCAATAATAACTAAGAAGAGGATTGATATTCTGACCACTAGTGGTCATATCAAATTGAGTCTTGCTAAGATAAGTATGTTACACGGTTCGAAGAACCAAGTTCGATGTAACATCCGACTTAAGACAGAAGATTGATGTAAAAGATAATTGAAGCGATCAATAAAACTATCACAAATGTTGTTAAAGTAAGAAGCTTGTAGCTAGAAGTGCTACATGCTAAAATGTGATTATATCACATTAGAACATGAAGGAAGGTATATTCCATTCTAGAGTTTAACTCAAAAAGACATGAGTCTAAGAGTTGCATCATAACATGGGAGGTCATTAGAACATGACCCATCAGTCCGTTACGGTAATTGAAGTAAATAATTTATCTTAAGGTAAGTCTGTTTACGAAGGATCAGGAGTCTAGAATAAGAATCAAGT